AAGCTGATATCATTGAGAGGGTGGATGGCCTCACAACATGGGCAAGTGCAGTTGCCATAGCACTCAAGCTTAACAGCAACATCAGACTTTATGTGGATATAAGGCAAGAAAATGAAGCTATAGTTAGAGAATGGTGGGCAATTTAGTGTTAACAACTGAGTTGAAAATGTTAATTAGCCACCGTAAAGGACAAAAAAGCTGAAATTTCGAGCATTAGCCCTTCATCTATCACTCTGTTGAAGGGCTAATGCTCGAAACATCAGCTTTTTTACCCTTTACAGTGGCTATACGTTTTCAACTCAGCTGTTAACACTAAATTGCCTGCTATACTCTCCCACCGATGCAGCACCACAGTTTCTTTAGGAATTTACCCCTTCATAGTTAGAGAATGATTGCTTATACTCATGGTTGATGAGGTTTTGGAAGAGCGTAATGGAAGTTCAGTTTTTCCGCGCTAGATTTGCATCATGATTTTCACCAGATAGAGCTGGATCCATATTGCATATCTATTACTACCTTTCTCACATACAAGTGTTTGTTTCATTATCAGAGGCTGAGTTTTGAGGTAAATGCAGCTCCTGAGAAATATGAACACATCATCAGACAAGTCATTGCAGATGTTGATGCAGATGTAAACATGCTGATGATTTAGTTGTTCATGGTAAGACTGTTGCTGAACATGATAGAAAACTGCAAAAGCTTTTGGCTGGGATGAAAGATAAGAAACTTACCATGAGTGGTGGAGTGTACCTTCCAATTGAACAAAGTTGTTTTCATGAGAATACTCCTTTCAGAGCATAGCATTGGCCCCATAGAGGAGAAAGTGTAAGCAGTGAAAGAAGCAAGTGCCCTGAGAATTCTTTGCTGGAAAGAAGACAAGTTTGTCTGTGTCTGGGGGAAAGCACAAAAGGAGGCTTTCAACATGCTAAGAAGGGATCTGACAGGAGCATCCATGTTAGCCTACTGTAACTAGAAAGCTCACACGCAGGTCACTGTGGACACCAGCCCAGTTACACTTGATACTTTCCTAGTACAAGATACAACACACAATGACTCAAACAGAGAAAGAAGCACTAGCCCTTGGGTGGGCCTGCCAGTAATTTTATTTGCATTTGTATGGCCTCCCAGAGTTTGACTTGGTGGCTGACCATCAAGCATTAAAGACCATCTATGGCCACAGATCAAAGCCATCCACTCCCATTAAACATTGGGCGTTGAGATTACAACCCTACAATTACATAGTTCATTACATCACTTCCAGAGATAATATTGAAGATGTCTCATGATTAACGTTGAAATGCGTCAAATGGACATGTTGCAGATTAAAAACATGTGTGTTTCAGTTCCACTGTAGGCAAAGCCTCTGGCCTTGAAGATTGAGGAAATTGAAGAAGTTTTGTTTGACGGCAAAGCACTTGCACACAAGTCTTTGGAGACTAGTGACTGGAGTGAGGCTTCAAAAGCCTTTTCCCTAGTAGGTGGTGACTTAACTTATATTGGCCAGGTTCTGTTGAAAGGTTCCCAGAAAGCTGTGGAAGAGTGTTCTAGAATTGGCCCATGTAGGTCACCAGGGAATCATGAAAACCAACGGACAGTTGAGAACAAAGGTTTGGTGGCCCAGCAAAAACAAAGATGAAGAGAGGAAATGTAGGAATATAGGGAATATTTTGGTTGTCAGTTGGTGTCAAAGTAAGCTTCCTACTAAGCCCACATGAGAGAGCCTGGCAGGAGATCACAGCAGATCTGTTGGGGCCCTTACCCACAGGATAACACTTACTATTTGAAGTAGATTATCTATCAAGATGGATGGAAGTAGATGTGCTCCCTTCTACAAATGTTACAATTATCAAATGTCTTGACAGCCATTTTGCAAGGTATGGTGTGTTGGTTGGTTTAGCAACTTATATTGGGTCCAAATTTGTGTCAGAGGTGAAGAAGACGTATCTAGTGAAAATGGCTATCATATACCACCACAATATACACTATTGTGGCCAAGAGCCAATGGTGAAGTGGAGCATGAGAACTGTTCACTGATTGTGGTACCGGTAACTAGATCCAGGACCTTCAGATTTTGTTGATGCAGAACACACCATAGTAGTTAAATACTGACTTTGTAGAATCAAGAGCATACCAACATCATCAATTTAAGTGCCTATAGCATGTGCTTACCATGAAATCATCCTGGTCATCACTACCTTCCCCATCCTTCTTAGCAAGTTTTAGCCAGTTGGCATTGCTATCACTAAAAGGACTGAACAATTATAACTTAAAGTAAGTTATAATTCCTGACACAAACAATATTCATTCAATAACATGGACAATAATGTTCACTAGCTATTATCATTTTAACTAATTGATTGAAAACAAAAAAAAAACAGCAATCGTATTTTGATGACACTACAATCATGATTAACAGCTTAGTGTCTTACTTTGACTTGATATTTAACTTAACAAATTCTTCACCTGAAAATGATAAGAACAGCCATAGCTTAGAAACTGGGTGAATATAATAGTGACTAAATTGCTTGCAACTTGGAGTACTGCTTGTGATCAGATCTTCTAAGCCTGCATGCTTTCCAGTTTTTACCTTCTTCTCTATACAATTTTATTAAAAAGCATTAGTTACAAACAAACCACTTGATTCTTCAGCTTCCTGTGTCTCTTCAGCATCAGATAAAGATCGTTTCATTCTATCAAAAATACAAATGATCATGCACCAATTAATATTCACCACTTATGGATCAAAATACAGACAAACCTTTGAGACAAATATTAATACTTCATTATCCATGTATTTAATCAAAATAACAAAACATGACTCTGTTTTGAACAATAATACCATACAGGTCTGTTTTAAGGAGGTTCAAGGGACAACAAAAGAGTTTGGAAGTTACAATCCACCAAATAATTTGTGTTGTGAAAAAACTATCTTGAGCAAACCTAAGTATCCATTGTTGATGTAAATGTACAAGTGAGGGACTATGTTGATGAGCTCCAAAGCAGTTTTCAGATGTGTCTTTTACTAGTAAGTGTTAAATTGACATGACATGTTACATTCTCTATGGTTTGTTTTGCTATGATACATTTCATGCTCTAAGATACTGTATATTCTCTGCCTTATTAAAAAAAAAACAGTTTGAAATTTACCCCAAAATATGTGTATATGTGAAGTTTAAGTTTCCTTTTAAGCTCTGGTATCTTGCACCATCTGTGGTGATCCCAAGGGGATGAAAATAACACAATAATACCTCTGAATTACATGCAGATAAACCGTGACTAGGAAATTTTCAATAAGATTGAAAAATAAGATAAATGTACACTACCTTGCCTTCTTAGAGCTCTTCACCTCAGACTGGAAATAATTTAAAAATTAAAGTTATAAAAAACCAAGCAATCAGTTCCAGCCATATCTTACAACTGCACATGACATGCCAAGCTTTTTGACAGCAGAAAGAAGACAAAGACAAAAACCCTCTGATTTGGATTAGGTGTGTAGATTTAAAACCTCTACCTCAGCCTTATGTTCTCAAACACAGAGCAATAGCTATGGACCAGGAGCTTTAAATGACCAAGCCACTCTCTTGCACATTTTTTAGCCTGTCATGCAGATTGCAATTAAATCTTTGTATCAAAATGATTTTCCACAGCCATTCCCCTGACAACCACAACTTTTCACTCATCCCTCTTATGTTAATTACCAGCCATGGTCAAAACACATTTATTTAACTCCACAGGAAACAACAACTGACTCACAACTGATCTGAGGTTGGGCACCTTGAAACTCCCACCAATTTGTGTTACAGCCCACACAGAGAAAATTTTTTTGAAGTCATGGTCACAAAAATTTTTCAAACAAGAACTTAAGTAATTAAACAGCTTCTCTGGGTTAAAAGCTCCTAATCTACACCCACAATGCCATGTAAATTTTGAAAGACTCCTGCAAAAAGCAAAATTTGGACAAAAGCTTTCCTGATCTAAACAAAACAGACCTTAACTCCAATTCTCAGGAAATTCTGCAAGGCCAAGTGTTAAAACATGAAATGCCTCACCTCGCTCCTCTTTTAAGTAAGGAGTTATAACAGAACACTTAATGACTGACCCCGTGGCTAACAGTGGGTTTTGTTTCCCCAGACCTAACACGTTCCTCAAGGCATACCAGCAGGCAACATTGATGGCCCAAGGAAACAATTCTCACTGTTTCCCCCTGGGCCAGTTGTTCAGTGCTTATTACTTTAATCAGACATACAAAGAATTACCCGCTTTATTTTAAATGATATTGTAAAATACATCAAATTGAGAATTTTAATGATCTTGGCATAAAATGAATTCAAACTACTTTGACTTTATTCCTTTTTTTTTCTGCAAAGTACAAGGAACAAAGGGAAATACATGTACAAATTAAAATAGGATTGGTACTGGACTGTAATGTTTCCTGATGATAACAATATTCATGAATAAAGACTACCAGTTACTGGTAAGCATAGTTATTCTCAGAAGTGATCTCTTGGAACTATTTCAACTATTACCTTGCTTTTCCCTGGCACACTTCCACTCTGATGTTTCAACTTTCTAAAAATAAATAAAAATATGACCTTTATTGAAGTTAGAATGGAAAGGGCCACTGGAGCACAATAATAATTGACCACCTAAGTTTTACATGCCACAAGGTAAAAGTTTCATGGAGCCTTTTTTTTACTTTATTCACAGCTCTTTTTTGTATTAGATCCTGCCTAACACCTCTAACCCTTCTCAAGATTGACAAATTAAAATATTTCCTATGTACACCTGCAAGTTCATGATGCAGTATACCCTACATGATGAGGCAGATTTTCAGCTGTCAAATATTCAGTGCAAAATGACAATTTGAAATTATTTTATACTTATACTCTTCTCTCAATTGAATACCATCACATGAAGCAAAAAAGAATGATTATTTTGACACAAAATTGATTTCTACAGGCATTTCAGGTGACTGATATGTGTAAAAAGTAAAATTTTTGGCTAATATATGACTGACTTTAATACATTTCACAAACAAACAGCATTCTTAAATAGTACTAAAACTCACCTTTTCCTCGAATTCTGAACATTGCTCCCATCTGAATTAAGAAAGCATGCTAATCAGTAATTGATAACATTTTTCTTCCACACTTCATTGCAAGCGAGGTAGGATGTAGTTTCTTAGGCTCTTACCGAAATATTTTAAATGCTCAAAAGCCAACTTTCTCAAAGGATTTCACACATGTTTAGCATGTAAGATAAGTGTTGTAAAAATTGAGTGTGGTGCAACAATCTCCTTTGAGGTGCAAATGTAACAGGATGGGCTCAGAAAATCCTGGAAAGTTTCTTTCTCAACTCAAGGATTTTGTTTATGGGAGCAAGGTTTTGCTGTTGATGGAATCACATTGACAATGCTGCTATATTTATTGTTGATATATCAGCACATGATAAACCAGTCCATTGAATAGATTAGGAGCTACAGCTCAGCCAATTAAGAGAACTTTTTATAGTGCAATTCTGAATTCAGCCAAGTACTGATAGCCCATGCCACACATACCAAATTAAAAAAGGAAGACAGATTTTGAGCTATTTTCATATTCTAAATGAAACAAGCCTTATTATTTCTCATAAGCACTTGTCCATTCTCTGAAAGGACCAGAAAGCCTTAAACCCTTTGCAACCCAATATCAGCTTTCATATTCTCTACACCATTCTCTACACATTTCCTAAGATACTGATGAGAAGAATTTGTCCAACAATCAAGAGCTTCTTCAGTTGGTGACTATTTCCTCTATTCTCTTTACCTAAATATGTGATTCAGGAGTGATATTGTAACAAGAAATAGGATGCTAGATGTAGGGTTCAAAGTCCTTTGAGAATAAACAATAAATTAAAGCACATTACCGGTACATCATTCAACAGATGAGTAAGTGGGTAATTTAGTATTATCAACGAGTTCATGATGTAAATTGGCCATCATAAAAGACTCTAAAAGCCAAGATTTCCAATGTTAGCCTTTCTTCACAGTGATTGGAGGAATTGTGGGTTGTGTGTGGGTAATTATATGCATCAATATGATGTTGTTTTGTTGACAAGTGTCTGAAGGTAGGCTATGACTTGGTTGCCAAGGTGATCTCCTTTCTTCTGGGGATATTTACTCTGATAAAGAGCTATTGCTAAAAATGTCAGCTTTAGAATCTCTTCAGGGTATTCGATTCAATTGATTAAGCTAGATCATCTTGTAATACCCCCACTAGCACAGCAACATAGTTTCTATAGAAACTTAACCCATTTAACTATTTGTTGAGGAGATTGCTCCCCTATCTCTATTCTGTTTCTATGTTTATTGCACCTACCCCTCCAGTGCTATTAGTTAGGTCTTTTCTATAAATACATAAAAATGTATACTGAGTTATAACTATGCTTTGCATGGTTCTTATCTATGATCCATTAGCATTAGTGAACAGACAAGTAGATGACATCATTATTAACAACATTTTGCTCTTTAATTATCATTAATAAAACAGATAGATTCCATAATGCTGTGGGTCTGTTCAGTAGTAGACTAGTAGAAGATATCAAAATGCAATGAGAACAGCAGTGACCTACTCTACTGCCCCTTGTGTGCCATTTATTTGTTGATACCACATTTTGAGGTATTTTGTAACCTACCACTGAACAGACGCATCTAGCAAAAAAGAATCCACTTGTTAAGTCTAATATGAAACTTTGAATCACAATAAAAATCTACGCTGTTTCATGATTTAAGCCCTAGGCCTGGTATGTTTTATTGCTATGAAAGAGATGCTTTGGATGAATTCGTTTCTGAATGACTAAATTAATCGTGAAGTAACATAAATTGTCCCTAAAGGGCTCCGTTACAATCGTTCACAAGATTTTAAACAACCACACCTAATGGCCATGTCACATCTCATAAGTCCTTTTAAACTTTCAAAATCAGTCCCTACTTCTACTTCGTGATGATGAAGATTTAGCTTGGTTTTGTTTTGTTCTTTACTGGATCACATTGAATGGCTACTTTGCTTACCTAACTGTTTCGGTAACTTTGGCGCTGGTTGCTTCTTTGCCTTCCTCCCAGGACCCTTTTTCGGTGGGTTTTCTTGAGTAGATCCCTTACTCGAAAGTTTTCTTCTTCCCATAACAGTACAGTCCCAGAAACTTTAAAGGCTCCACTAAATTCTTGCTCCTTGATTGTAATGCCTGCACGTGTGTCGTGGGAAGAGTACTGGGAACGAACATTACACTGTGTGTTTGGGACATGTGAAACCTCCAGGAGGCTTACACGAATCAATATTTGGAATTCAGTGGCAGCATGTGACTGTCGCAGAACGATGATACCTCGTTGTTGGCTGAAAATGATTTTGTAATTATTATTTTAATTCAAATGGGCAAGAAAAACCAAAACGCTTTGGGGAAGAGTATCATAAAACAAAGTGCTAAGAGTAGGGGGAATATCAAACACGCAAATAGTTGGGTAAGTGATCTTTCAGGTAATTTAGTGTTAACAACTGAGTTGAAAACGTAAATTGGCCACCGTAAAGGGTAAAAACGGTGGCCAATTTACGTTTTCAACTCAGTAGTTAACACTAAATTACCTGCTATACTCTCCCACCGACGCGAAGTTTCATTTGGTCATCTGAGACGTATTCTAACTTTGAGAAGTTGGTGAATTTCTTTTCCTGCCTTTATTTTATTTTCCCTTTGTGCTCTGTATCACATATTCTCAAATTTTACTTTTCAACTTGGTTGAACAGTCTTCTCTGCTTTAAACCTCGATTGGAAGTACATGAACTTGTTCTTTACTAACGATACGAGGACGTTGCTTAACACATTCACACTGCTGAGCTGAACATGAATATAAATGCCAAGTGATTCTAAAGACTATTTTCATTTTTTTTTTAAGAGGAGAAATTTTCTTGAGTTTTGCTTAATAGAAAGTCTAAATCTTCTTCTCATTAGCTACATAGCAGTGAAGTTGACAATGAAGCAGGACCTAGTCTACAGTCCATCACAGAACAAAGTGCCTTGGATGATTTCTTGGCAACAGCTGAACTTGCTGGTACAGAGTTCATGGCAGGTGAAGTTATTGTTATATTAATGGAGTTCACGATGTCTGCTTCATGTATATTTACTGTACTTAACATTAACAAGTAATTAAGTTTTTACTTATTATTTTGGAGATATTTTTAAAGTTCCTTTTTTTTTAATTTAAGGGAGGTTGGGTCTAGAAAAAGTTTATCTCATTTAGAAGAACTTTTCTTCAGGAGTTAGAAAATAACTGTCATTTTGTTCACTCTACATTGCAATTGTGATGGGAGTGCTGTGAAATTGGTCTTATTTCCAACTTTTGTGGCTAGAAGCATGCCATCTTGGACATGACATCGGCTATGACATAGCAGTAGTCAAACTTAGTTTGACCCTTTGTCCTTGTTGACCTGTTTGACCTTTGTGACAAGAATGTTCTAGTAATTTAACTATGGTGAACTGTCTTGTAGTTGAATATCAAAATACACATCAAAATACGAAAGGAAAAGGCATAAGCTTTGACATTAGCTACTGGAAAGTGAAATATTTAAAAAACTTTGGCTGGTAAAAACCCTGAGAAGTGTCAAAATGAAGCCCCTAAGCAAAATGTATGGGCATGAAAGTTGTCCTTGTTGACCTTCACTTGAAATTCAAAGCTATGTTGACTTTTTCTATAATCAGCATAAATTTCATCTTATATTTTCTATTCAAATAAATTGAATCTCAAAATGATGATAGACCACATGTGGTAAATTCTTAGTGATTGAATGAAAATTATACTTTGCTAAGTAAGGGCCCATATTTATTTATTCAATCCATATTGATTTGACACCATACTATTGTACATAGCAGTAATAAATGTCCTCCAACCAACTACTTGACATAAATATTCAATACTGATACTTTCAAAAGAAATTGAAAGTATCATTTTAGTTTCAATTATCTTGAGGTAATTTCTAATGTAATCACTGTTTGACAGAGAGGACTTTCTAGTGCTCATTATAATTAATGAAGCCCTTCATCTTCTCACAATTCACAACATTTCAAACAATTTAGAATGAAAAATAATGTGGTGAATCAAATTCTAAGCACAAAAGATTACATCACCACTTGCAACTTAAAGCTAAAAGCTGAAACAAAATTTAATTCTTAACAACTTTTGCTTTTTATGTGCATTAAGTTTGAAAACTGAATTTTGTCAGTGTTTCTGCAAAGGATGATCTTCAAGTCTATCCTTTCTAACTTGTTTCATGCCAACCAGGGCTGTTCTAAGGCACAACTGACTGGTGCTCAGTAATATGCTGAAGCTGGGTTCCTGAAATGGCAAAAATAATTTTTCATTCAGGTAGATATGTGAAATGAATCTGTCTTGGGCACTGCAGTCTTCTTTATCAAAATAATACTCCAGAGCTAGGATTTTTTTGAGGAAAAACTATCTCTGCCTTTCAAATTGAGTAGATGACCTAGTACATTTAATTCTTGGCGACATATATATTCTAGTTTTCTGTAGGCTTTCAGTGGTCACAAAAGCAGGTGGATGTTACTCCTTGGAACTCAATTTCCTGGCCTTCTTTGTCAACAGAGGTTCTTCTTCCTCTGAACACAAGCTATGTTGTATTTGAAACATAAATGGATGTATTACACCCTCTGGGTTAAAATCCAAGTTGAGAATTTAATCAGTAGGACTCTCCTCATTGCTGTTTTCCTTTTTCACATCCATCTTAGCAGGAATTTAAGTCAGCATGCTTGACTATTGCTATGTCATAGTTATGTTATAACAAAGATGATGGTTTTTAACTTGAAAATGCTTGTTTTTAGCTCAAATGAATAGCCATTTAGGATAATGCAAGTAAGGAAATTTTGATATGGCTAAACTTTTCTAGACCTTACTTTCCCTTTAAATGATACCAGGAGACTGACTTTTATAGGAGATTTATTCTTTTATTCATCTAGTTATTACTGTGAAATTTAGAAAAGTCTCAGGGTTGATAAAATTTTGGAAATGTTTGTGATGTTGTGACCATCACTTATTATGGTTACATTTATCTCAAGTGTGGTTAAATTTTTGTTCATGCAAACAAGATAATCCAGAAATGTTATTGGTGTTCATGGTTATAAGAGCTGCCAGCTATCAAAATTCCACAAACTTTTCATGGTTGAGTGATGACCTAAATATTGGCTCCTTGAGATTTCAAGTAGTAACCTTCATGCAACTTTATATAAATTGCCTTGAGATGTATTACAAATTTGATTCTGAATGCCACCATTTGGCAAAAAATATCTCAATAACCTGGCCTTGCATGTATAACATCTCAGAGTTGGTTCATGAACAACTGCCGATCTTAGTCAGAGTAATTATGGTAAAAATCACAGTTTAAGTCAAGAATACTTTTGTGTTCAGTACAGCACCTCATTGCTTTAAAAAAATTTGTGAAGAGATGGAAAAGGGAGAAATATAAGTAGCCAGGTTTGCTAAGCAAAGTTCAAGATGGAGGCTATGGTAGTCAAACTGCTACATGAAAATCATATATCAATAACATGGTCAATCATTTGTAGAACATTTGTCTTTTGAAACATTTTTCTTATTACAGAAAAGTTGAACACAACAATTGTGACACCAGGGAGTAATGAGGGTCTCCTGAGTAGTGAAACTGCTGCTGCCATTAAACAAGCACAGAGGGACAACCAGCATTTCCTCAGGATTCCTCGCAGGTTTATTCATACTGATTTTGTGGTCTAAATTTTTCCTTGGCTTCAAAATTTTCAAAGCAGTTTTATTCTTGTGCTCTTTCTCTTTTATCATGGTAAAAGATCAAAGACAAATGAAAATACATATTAAACTGGTTTTTGAACTTTTGAGCAATATCAACAACTTCATTTTTTGTTCCTGATAGTTACAAGTCAAGTAACAGCAGTTATAAACTACATGTATTTCAAAGAGTACAGGCTGCCTTTCATTACCAGAAAGGGCTAGAAAGATACACCAGCCACACTTAGTGTGATTTATTAATGTATTTTGGGGTCAGATACCTCTCATGCATGCACACCCACACAAAACACAAAAAAGCAGAAAAAAAAGTAAAGAAGCAGGACAAACAGCAGACAAAGAAAACTAAGGAAGATGCTATTTTTATGCAATGGAAAGCTAGTAAAAATGAGGGTTAAAAAAAAAATGCAATTAGTACTTAGAATAAGAGTGGACTTCAGAAAGAAAATTTGAACCACTATGTTGATAGAGTGCATTTCCATTAAGGACCATGGCTCATGATTGTCAGAAATTGATAACATGATTATGATTTTTACCTTAAAGGCCAAACTGGAATGAGCACATGACAGCTGAGGATCTAGACCAAATAGAAAAGGACAGTTTTCTTGAATGGAGAAGACACCTTGCCCAGTAAGAATCTTTCCTTCCATAAAGTGGAACATCTTAGTGAGGTTCAGCACAGTGATTTTCATAAACATGCATTGGTTGAAATGGATGGGTGTCATAGAGATTTTTATCATTCCAGTTTTTTCATCAGCAGTGAACAAAAGGATCTCTAGCACAAGTTAAATGAAGCTGTCCTTTAACATGCATGATATGCTCTCTTAAACAACATGTGGTCATGTTTTTGTAACATATACAAGAACAGTATCAAATATGTTTTATTAAAAGTTCCGTCATAAAGGTAAAAGTTGACTGTGAGTAGTTGAGAAAATCTTAAGGTGTTTTGATCTCATCATAGCTATTATAACCAATATTAAATGACTTTTATGAATTCCATTGATAATTACTGTTAGTAATGATTGTTGATTGTTATTATCATTAGTATAATTATAATAATATAAGAATTAACTATCATTGCCTTGATAAAATTTATACTACACACTTGGATTATTAATACATGAGCATCCCTTTAACAGGTATTTCCCCAAATATCCACACTGAGTAATTCCTTAAAAATGAAATAATTTCTCTAGGTTGCAAGAGAAAGAATATATACTTCTTACACCATTTGAGCGCAATCTTGCATTTTGGAGACAGTTGTGGAGAGTGATTGAACGCAGGTAGAAGATTTCTTTAGAACCATACTTAACAGCTGACAGGCAGACATATGATGATTTGAATAACAGGAATACTTGTACATGTAATTTTAACACAGTAAAGTCAAACAAAAAATCCTGAACTTCATCAAAATTTGGTCAGAACTATTACTTTCACTTAGCTTGTTTATCATTGCAAATTGTACTTAATTTTGGATAATTAAGTCATGCAGCCACATGCTCTGTCCCTTTTTTTGTACAATTCAAGGATTCCTTAATTAATCAATAACATTTTTTATCTCTATAGTGATGTGGTTGTCCAGATTGTAGATGCAAGGAATCCCCTCTTGTTTAGATGTGAAGATTTGGTAAGAAATCGTTTTCATTCAATTTTTTTAATATTGGTGACTGTTACTACACTTCAACTAAGAAGGAATAGGCATAGTGCCTCATAAACTGAAGAATGACCAATCCAGGTGAGGGTGGTGCAGTAACAGGTCTACGTGAGATGTCCCTGTCCTTGCACCATGAGGAATAACCAGAACCTTTGTCTCCTTGTTAACACAAGGAATGTGCTAAAGTTCTTGTGTCTTAAATGTTATTCAATTTCCTAAGTGCATCTGGGGTACATAAACTGTGCATACTTCATGGAACATGATGGGGAGGTGTTTTTTGTAAATGAAATTTGTTAGCATTGGTTTGCTCTAAAATCCAATTTTACTTCTTTCTAGGAGAATTATGTGATAGAAGTGGATCCAAAAAAATGCAACCTCCTTCTTATAAATAAAGCAGACTTGTTATCTCTAGAGCAGAGGTAAAAACTTAACCATTATTGTAAAAAGTTTTTTGAAGTTGACATTCAATAATTTCATATTGCAACCAATCAGACCTGGTTGACATGAATAATAATTACTATCCTTATGACAATAAGGAAAAACGTAATGAGCAACTTCACCAATAGTTGATTTATGTAGACAACAGTTGAATGATGGATCTGGTAAACTTTTTGACCATGAATATGAATATGTTCCAAACAGTTACTCATTCATTCCTTCCTCCTCTGTATAAGTGAGCATCAACCACAAGTATGTTGTTATTGCTTAGAGATTCTTGTCTGTTGACAACACACAGATATTCCTGGTCAAGATATTTCAGGAGTATTGGGTTACCAGTGGCTTTCTGGTCTGCACAACAAGAGACTGAGCGGCTCTCAGTTGTAAGTCCAGTTTAGATGTTGCAAACATAAAGTTTTAAATGTAGTTTTTTGTCAATGACTGTGAATATATGAAAGTCATATATTTGAACTGCGGATAAAGACGTGAATATGAAAGCGATCTTCTCACTAATGAACACTACTTGAGCAGTAGTGAAAATAAGGCCTGAAAAAAATTCAGGCCAGTACGGGATTTGAACCCATGTTCATTACTGCGAAGATGGCTTTCATATTCACGGCTTTAATTGCAGTTCAAATATATGACTTTCATATATTCACAGTTGTTTATTGGCCACTTCACGGGTTTATTTGGAACCAACATGATGACCAGCTCTCAGTTGGCTCGTTAGCTCAGTTGGTAAAGCACTGCACTGGTATCACAGGGGTCATGGGTTCAAATCCTGAACAGGCCTGAATTTTTTTTCAGGCCTTATCTTCACTGCTGCTCAAGTAGTGTTCATTACTGTGAAGATCACTTTTTTTATTCACGTAGTTTTTTTTCTTCAAGCAAAGTGTCTGAAAGCTTCAAGCCACATAGGTTATTCTGAAAAAGGATTCTGATAAAAGTTGAAAGCATTCTGATAAATTTATAGACTTAATGTCACAATTGCATTAGAGCAAGGGGAAATACCCTTTGATAAACAATCGTGCTATTTACTCTTCTTCTTGCCAGAAAATGACTTTCATATAAATATGTTCTCTTGATAATGGCGTACAGTAGATGTTTCATCAAAAAGTGGTCAATTCAAATATTTTTTTCTCTTCAGCTAAATGCTGCTTCTGAAGAGGAAGAGAACTCTGAACAAGATGAAGAGAAAATAGAAGGGGATGAAGACGATGAAGGGGAAGAATATGAAGAACAAAGTGTTAATTTGTGGTCAAAACTCTCACAAATGACTTTTGAAAATGACGATCAACAAGCAACTATTCAGGATCCTTGTGCTGTATCTGATGCAGACCAAGTTTCGTTAACTTCACATGATAAGATATCTGAAGATAAATGTGAAGATTTAATGTCAACTCCACAGAGCACGATTGACACAGACTTGAAACATTTTAAGTCAAATGTTGAAGACAAAGGTAACAGTTCTTTGTATTCCTATGAAAGTGAACAGTCCTTGGATTCAGAAAAAGTGAAACAATTTTCTGTCACTACAAAGGCTGGTAGTTTATCTGGTCATGGCTCAGTGAATGAAATATCCTCAAAGAAAGAACTCAAAGAAAGAGAAACAACTGATGACAGTCTTGATCCCTGCTTGGAAAATACATCTGAGGTTGTTGAACAGTCTACTACAGACTTTGAAAGCTTTGATGATGAGTTCTCAGCAAAGCTACTAACGAGAGACGAATTGTTAGCTTTGTTTCAAATGCTACATACAAAAAAGATACAAAACACAGTTGGTGATTCACACAGTATCCTCACTACTGTTGGTTTGGTAAGTAAACTCAAGATGTGTCCATTGGGTATACCACTCAGGTGAATAACTCGTGCCCATTGACTTGCCTAGACAAAAGAACAAATGAATTGGTTTCCCGTTTTGTGACATTTACTAGAGAGGAAATAATTTTGATCAACTAGGCGACTGTTTTAAGTAAAAAACTCCAAAAATTGAAAAAAGTTGTTTAGTTTACACAGTGTCCAGAGAATGCGACAGGAGGCTCAAGCAACAAAAACTTCCATGTTGGGTCGATTTTAAGTGTTCCTGTAATTCATCGCTAAGCAGCTTTGATTCCTAATGATTTTCGTAATGAACACAGGTCATTTGGCTAGTTTAAAGCAGCATTGTTTTGGCTTTTTCTTCATTATATACCTCAGTGTCGATAAATGTGGTAGATGTTTACTACCATAGGTAGGTATTTCGGTTTGAAGCAGAATACAATGAATTATCACACTCTAGGAGTGATTCTTATCTTGTACATAAAAACTTCACTCGTTCATGTCCATTTTTCATCACACCTTGAACAGGTTGGTTATCCCAATGTGGGGAAAAGTTCAACGATCAACACACTTCTAAATGACAAGAAAGTCCCAGTATCAGCTACTCCTGGACGAACAAAGCACTTTCAGGTATTGAACATTTTACCAAATTGAAGTAGTTGTGGTTAACACACAAAGCCTGAGTACTCAGTCAGTATCACAAGCTCGCAGATGTAAATCGCGAAGCGCGTCCTTTTTGCTTGTAAATATTTTACGACTGTTTTATTTCAGACACTGTATGTCAATGATGAGGTGCTGCTGTGTGACTGTCCAGGCTTGGTCTTCCCATCGTTTGTGTCCACTAAAGCCGACATGATCCTTAATGGGATATTACCGATTGACCAAATGAGAGACCACGTCCCAGCTGTGTCTCTGATATCCTTTACATGTCGGCCATTGTCGACTCAGTAGTCTTACATCGAAGTTACTTTGTGCGCTTTCCTACACTGCCAAAATCTTTTTTATTGTTGGGCCACTTCGTAAAATACCATATTACTCTTACATATGTCTGATTCTTTGGAATTCTTTTGTTGTTTTGCTTCCCTTGTAGATAATTTGCATACTTTTTAGAATTGTAGGAATGAATAGCAGTGCTAATGCTAGCTGATTAAAGTTAAGTTTTTGTGATGTTCAAGTTCCTAGGTAGTCTTTATATCTGCCTTAACTGTTATTGGAGATGTCTCAATCAAACGGAATGCTACTCTACAGTTCGTACTTGCATCCTGAATTCCGATGTACCATTGAGACAAAGAAAGCTGAGCTTGCCTCTTTAGCAGGCCTATTGCACTAATCGAACTGGCTTGTAGGTTTGCGTAGATTTTTAATTAATCTGTTGTTTCATAATTTTTTTATTTGCAATCCGGAAACTTTTGGAAGTAGACTATTAGATTATACTGTTTCCTTTAACTGAAACCACCTTTGTCAGAGAATCCCTCGCGGTGTTCTTGAAGTAGTGTATGGTATAAACATTGTCCCACCCCAGGAGGGAGAGGATCCCAACAGAGCTCCTCATGCCGAAGAGCTACTCTCCTCTTATGGCTGTAAGTTGAGCTCATTTTCGTGATTCATAAAATGTTCGCTAGATTTGGTTAAATTTGTCAAATTTTCACAAGTCATTGTATCTACAATACCTTTTCACATATTAATTTACATAACAAAGGAAGAAAGAAAGAAATATGATGAAAAAAAGGTAAAATCCGTAGCAGAGCCACGGAAAACAGTTTTATTTGTAAATTTTGCAAATTTTAACAAGCCCATGGAAAAAGTCGAATCTGTTACATCTACTTTCAATCCTGTAATCAAGTAGTTTCTCGTTCTTTATTATTCGAGAACAGCCAGTGTCATAGCGTTGGCCTCTAGCTTATTTTGCCCTTGCTCCTGTTTCTTCGCAATGCCCACCGCCGTAACTGGCCGGCTTTGGACATCCAAGTAGTCGAACAAAATCTACTTTTCAGGGGTAAATAATGACTGTATGTTGTTGTTGTTTTTAAGCAATCACAGTATGGAATTTTAAACTAGGTAATTTCTTGCGGGATAAGCCTTAGTGGGAAAGTTGATAATAGGAAATTAGAGCTTTAAAACTGGCAGTAAAATATAAGGGAGCATTGACTTAATGATTGGGGAAAATTTTTTCTCAGATACCAGAGGTTTTATGACATCACATGGTATCCCGGATGAATCCAGGTCAGCTCGATACATTCTCAAGGATTATGTTAAGGTATGTGATTCAGCTGATGATGTACATCGGTAAGTTGTCTTGCCCTCTTCTTACACAACACAAATCTTGTGTATCCTCTTGAAGGAAATTTTGTACTGAGGTGTTTTTATCTTACGCAGGGCAAACTTCTCTATTGCATTGCACCTCCTGGACAGGACGAAAGTGAATTTCAGCAGATTGGATACAAACTACAAAGCGTCGCTGACATTGAAAGAAAAGATAAGCAAGCCAAAAAGAGAGCCCAGAAGCAGGTACACTTGTCGGTACGCTTGTTTGCAGTGAAGGTTATCCAGACTAAAATTTTGAAAAATGACAAAAATAGCTTAAGTTGCAGTTTTGATGTTTGCCTTGAGAAATGAAAGTTGGTCGTCCAATTTGCTTCAAAACTTTCCATGAGTGGAAGAAAATTATAATAATAACTTCTAAAAAAAAAAAAAAAGAAGGAAAAAAGCACCGTCTATCACGCGAGGCAATGAAATTGGCGAAAAAAGAATTGTGTCTGTCACGCGACGGACCTAGGCCAGGAAAGAGGAACTGCTCCTAGGCTTTGCAGAATACCAGTGGATAGTGAAGGAGGCAATTTTGAAAAAAATGCTTGCGAAATGTGAAGTGATTGTTCAGTAATGTTTCCTTGTCTGTTGTGAATTACTTACGTTGATCCTAGAGCATGACCTCTGATTTACCAATTACTGTCTCATATTTAGACAAGCGATGTGGACAAGAACTTCTTTAAACAGGTAATTTATCCAGCATAGATCATTCAACTTCTCTTCCCTCTCCAGAGACTCTTTGTCATTTAACAAATAGATTCCAAGTTGCCGTGCGTCTGTTCAGTAATAGATCACAGATGACGTCAAAATGTGGAGGAACAAAAAAGTGGCACACGAGGTGCAGCCGAGTGTGTTACTGATGTTCTTACCACATTTTGACGTCCTCTGTGATCTATTACTGAACAGACGCACGGCAACATGGAATCTATTTGTTTTATATAATAAAGATTAAAATATATGGGAAAAAAGTTTTAATGATGACGTCATCTATACGTCTGTCCTCCAATAGATCATAAGTGAGAACTAATCAGAATGCGTGCATAACTGAGCTTATTATATAATTCATTATAGATTATGATTTATTAAAAGAGGAGAGAGCTTAAGGCACTTTACAATTTACAGCTAGAAGAGAAAATAACAATTACAGCGACAAAAATCTTTGTCTGTTTGTTTTATTTTTAGCAGGGGCAAGTTCGCTGGTTTACGCGAGGTTTTCACGCCACAGAGTCAAGCCAATATGGGGCGGCGGCAATCCCAGCACTAGAGGGTAATGCGGGCATGCCTTATAAACCATGGAAGAAACACTATAATAGAAACAAGAGGGAGAAGCTCCGTAGGCTTGTGAACAAGTAAAAATCATGTGGATCACAGGCATCATATTTGTAGTACTTGTTGTCGACAATTTCCCCAGCTATCACCATTAAGAGAGAGCAGAAAAAAGGAGCAACTTTAATCAACTTTCCTTGATCATTTTGATATCATGTTTAGCCAACGTCTTAACTGGTTTTTGTGACGAGAATACCAAATAAAACGATAACCGGTAATAAGTCAGCTGTGTTCAGGTTGAAAAGTTTTCTCTAATACATGCCTGACTTACCATCCATAATTTTAATATTTTATTGCACGCAGTTTCTCACAAAATTACTACCGAAACACAAGGTCGTAGTCAGATGAATGGCCAAAGTTGGTTTCCTTCCAGTGGTAATTTACACGATTCTCTTATGTGAAATGATGATGAGAGTCGGATGCAGAGAACGCGGTACTAAAAACAGAGAGAGTAATTAAACAAAATAGATTGCTTTTCATATCCCAAGTGGTCTGTTGGTAGCCTTTTAGTGTTGGGATGAATAAAAGTACCTCTTAAATTTAAAAGAGGACAGGTATTGCCAATAGCGTGAAAGATGTGAAATCCTAATCCCACTAACATACATGAGTTTAATTGTGAGTCATCTGGTCTAGCGGCGAGTCACTTCATAACTGAATCTTACAAAACAAAGTAAAAAGGTAATCTTTATGCCCGTAAATGTATTAGCGAGTCAACGTTTTAAGTGTGTTGCAGTTATGAAAGTTTGTGTTAAACCAGGTAGTTATAAATAACTATAATTCGTCATCTAATGTCTTTCCTTTTAATAAGTTAGAAACAAGAATGACTGCTTCTATTTACTGATTGTCGTGTAAAAACTTTGTGTTTCCTGATTATGTTATCAATCGGAAATAGTTTTCATCTTATTTTCAACTTAGGGAACAGAAAAATACGTATCTTATGATGTTGTGTTAGTTTATAATACTTAAATTGATATATGTTCAATTGTTGATCATCTCTTCAACTCTTCTTGACAATTTCTTTTCTGCCTTGGTCAGATATGTCTCTTTTAGGTCGTTTGTGATGTTTTCCGGCAAAATCTCTGGCTTTATCGTCCAAAACATCCAATGCCTTTTTCCAGCTTATAGAAGACACATCGTGTCTCTCTAACCAACATGATTGCGTAACAGAGTTATTTCGTGGTTCAGCCTTTATTTTTGGCAGCTTTGTTTGGCCGCTATTATGTTTTCTGTATTCATTAGAGCCTTTGTCATCCCCGCTGATAGGTGGCAAACTTAAATCAGGTTTGTTTCCTTCCCTGTGTTCAGTGCCATCGTTGACAGAAATATCTGGTAGTTTTAAAACTTGTTGGATTGCGTCGTTCTCTTCATTGTACATGAAGTGTCCTGGAATCTCATTTAGTTCATCACCAAAACCATCATTGACACTAGTCTCGGTATCCAAGGAAATTTTACCAAGTTTCCGTCGGTATTTGCTTCGTCCGACCTTCCGGGACTGAAGAGTCTTCATCATGTGTGCACTAAAAAACTGGCAGTGTACAGCTGAAAGTCATTTGCGCTATAAATATTTCTGAAACAATTTTCCGTAGCAAAGCGTCACTTCTTAGTCCAAGGACCAGATTTCACATCGTGGACAATATGATGAAGTCAAGATGTACATGTAATCTTTTGTTTTAGTAACAAGGATATCAGGCCTCTTCTCTGCTGAAGAGACCTCCCATAACTTGTGCGCGAAAAATCTTCGGAATTACATAGAGCCAAACTATCGGTTTACCCAAATGAGACAGTTGAATGCGTCATCCTGAATAAATCTTTTCCGTTTTACTTAAGTTAAAATTACTTGGTTTTACTTCAGGTGCCCTCTTGGGACCTAAAGGAACAAATTAGGCTGTAATAAAAACGTGTGATGGTTAATTCCTATTTCCGTCACTAATCCATCAACAAAGAACTGTTTTCGGAGAGCCGGAGACAAACAAACTCTTTCACCTTTATAAGCTTCTTCCTTGTGAAGAATACTCATCCTAAGTTTGAATTTTGACGAACTTGGTGAATTCTGTACCGTGCCTCTGTTGCCTCTGTTGAAAAACTTTTACCTGAAATATAACCATGTCACGGTGTAGTGTGTACACATTTGGCAAACAATTACTCAAACTTGGGTTGTCTGATTAGAAATAGGAAGAAGAAAGCGAGATTGGGATGAAAAATTCTCTTAAGTGCACATGTATTCTCTGGCTCATTAACTGGTATGTCAAAAAAATTACCTTCGTCGAAGTCGTAAAGAGAGCAATTATTGTTACTTGGTTATCTGTCAAACGCAATCAACCAGTCGCAGTGGCAAAGAATAATAGAGTCAATTTTGCCAATCAGTGCCCATCACCAAAGCAAACTAAGATGGTTAAAATTCAAGGAGGGATTCATTAAAAGTAATCCTGGAAATGTTTCCTGTTTTCGGATAGGTCAGTTTTGTGTGATTGCCTTCGGTTACAGGCGCAACCTTGGCAGCTAAGCGTGAATTACACTTTACTAAATTTATGGCAAAATGAAAACAAATTTAAAACAATTGAGTAAACAAGTTCTCCGCAAGTACGGCTTCGTGAACTTCTGAAACTCCGAACGCGATGTCAAGGAGGAATCAATTGACTCCATTAACCATCAGCTGGTGAAGAACAAGCTTTCCCAATTGCGGACCCATTCTGTGCGTACTTCATTGTGTTTACAAAGAAAACGACTTTTACACTGGGCTACCGGAATATCAGCTAGATCTCTAAAACTGGTCGTTGAACATCATGGTGACCCACCCGCTGATTTATTTTGGTTTTTCTTTTTCCTTCTTTTTTTTTTTTTTTCGTAAATTTTCATCCTTTCCAGTTGCTAGATTAACTACAATACCCATCGTTAATAACCCCATTTTAAATTCAGGCGTGCATCGTTTTTCCATATCGTCCACCCTGAAGAGGAAGAAAAGCTTCCACAATGAGTAGCTTTCTTCAACACTGATGCGAGTATTATAACGCTCTAACAAAGCGTAATAGATCCCCACAACAGCGGCTAACTTTCTGAAAGCGAATTCAAAACGGGTGCGAGAAATTACTTGTTCAGGCCTGGTATTGGGGGCAGGTTTTCAACATCTGGGCAGCACAACGCTTTTGAGTTTCTGAGGCGTCATCACCGTAAAACGTGGTGGTTGCAGCACAGGCCTCCTCTTTTCGTCTCTAATGTTTAAAGTAAAATGCCTTTATCGGCATCTCACGGTCAGAGGGTGAAACCCTCACTTCGGAGTTGCTTCCAAAATGTTTCTTGGTCTGATTTGGATCGAGAACCTACAAAGGCTTTATTTTAAATTCAGCCTGTCGTTGTCATGTGGAAAAGATGGAAATATTGGCAGGACAAAGGTAGGTTGACTAGAGACCGGTAAATTGAGGACAAATGAACAAATGGCCTGTTAAGAATGCTTGTTTACATGCACACATGTTCTGTGCTCCTACTCGCCAACAGAATACCTAAATCGATAGCCCACAGAAAAAAAATTACGCCACCTAACTAACCATGTATTTGATGATAATTTAGCTCCAGACCTATTACATACTACAATTTTTATGATAAAAAATCACAACAAGAGAATGCCTTCCTATTTGATACATTTTCTACGACAATAGTTAACATCCACAATTATAATATAAGAAATTCAAAACATCAATTGTATTACATTGTACTTTCCTTATGCAAGTATTAGCTAATGTATAGATTTAACCAAGCCTAAAACCGGAGCTCGCATTTTTTCCCCGTACGTCTCAAGGGCACAACGCCTTGCCCCAGCCAAGACTAGAACCCGGGTCGTCCGACTCGGAGCCCAGTGCACTGACCACTGGACAACTAAACAAAGCCGTGGCGTTGGCGTGCCCGCGGTACAGTTGACCACGCATGTAAAAAGTAGCACCTTGTACGGTCGTACATCCAAATTTTTTCGGCTTGATGGGTTACTACTATTTTGTATAATTATGGGGCTACGCTCTACGAGCTCCGCTATCAATAGTATATTTAACGAACTGTAAGGGAACAAATGCATGGAATTCCCTCAGCAGGAAATAGATACAACCTTAATGTAACTTTGAGGAAACGTATAAATGGAAATATCAAACAATTTCTACTGCTACATTATTTCATCAGATAACACTGTTTCTAAGATTTTTTGTGCCTCTAACTCAACAATAAACCTTCTGCTTTAAGCTTGATATAAATATTATCCTTCTTTCTATTGTCCATTATCTCCCTAATATTATAAAAGTGTGATTTATTTTGTCACTTAAAGCTTGATTCATAAATCAACCTTATCTTCAATACCACTACTTTAACAAGAAAATCGGTGTGTTAAAAACATTTTTTTAAATGATTTAGGGAACTGGAGACTGGAGACCTTTTCAACTAAATTTCAATTGTTTTCTTTCATTGAAAATCATCCAAATCCACACTATCTTATCTAAGAGAGATAAAGTGAAATGTATGGGAGATCAAGAGATTTGTTCCATATTCAAAGAAAAGTGGGGTTTTAAACACACCTATATGAACTTAAATGTTCCATATCAGCCTCTGAGCCTTTTAAGAATTTAAGAAAACTGTGCACCATAGGCTGGTGGGTCATAAGGTGGAGGAGCATTTTGCTGAAGAAAGCCATATGAAGGAGAAGGCTGTGCAAATGGTTGAGAATACCCCTGAAAGTACGGTGGTGCTGGTGCTGATGACTGTACAGCTGTTGGGTCAAAAGTGAAGAATAAGCTGTCCACATCTATTGGATAATCAGGAGCTTTGTCGCGGTGGACATACTTTGCTGACACATCTGCTGATGTGACAAGCTTCCAATGGTGGTTTGCCAGTACATGGACCAAGTGGCAAATCAGACTTCTGCCATGGATTCCATCATGTCCACTAATTCCATCTCCCCAAGGATTACCCAGTAGTTTAAATTCAAGACTATTTCCATAGCGCTGCACTCTCTGAATACCAAGGGCGTACTGTGCATAAATCACATCTTGACATTTCTAAACATCAACATGGAAAGAAAGTTATAAAAGCATTATTTTGTGATGTTTAACAGTTTTTCAATCATGTTTAAATTGGGCTTCCATAGGAAATAAAAAAAAAAAAAGAAAGAAAGTGAAGTGAAGCTATCTGTCTTTATTGTAGTCCTATACACTTACAGGATCATTACTGCACTTTTGAAATGCAAAGGAGTTTTCCCCGTAAATACAAAAGTCTTCTCGAAGATACAAGAGACACTATGAGAGTCCTAAGAGCAAACTCTTTCAAGTGAATCTTTTATTGAGCAGTCTTACTGATTTAGTGAGCCACCTATGGAGTTTGAAGCACTCAAAGGATCATCTATAACTGCCAGAACTGATACTGTCGAATATTTTAACATTATGAAAAACTATACCCAATTAACACAGAAGTGAAAATAGTATGTAGATAGCTATGTGGAGACTGTTGTTATCTTGACAATTGATGATTGTGATATCCTAGACAAAACTACTAACTAAACGGGAAATGTAGAGAACGATTCGATGGTGAAAATAAAGGTGAGAGAAGACATAAGATCACACTATGCAAAGTAAAGCCTTAGCCCTATGTCAAGTAGGGCTAACGCTGGAAATGAAAGCTTTTAAACTCTTTACAGAGGCTAATTTACGTTATCAATTCAATTGATAATATTTTAATAGCTTTGTTGTTGGGCACTGGCAGACTACTGCCAGATACATTTATTTCTGCAAACCAAGTTTAATTACATGGAGAAGCCTGAGTGCACATAGTAACGCATCTAGTTGTACCAATAAAAAAGAGAAAATCATCCACAACCTGCAGATCATGTTGTAATATTACTTAATGTAAAGCTATACCATATCTACTTAACAGAACTATTTCTCCTGTGTTTTTATTTTGGATCAAGTTTTTGTTTATGGGCAGGAGGGAAGAGTTGGGCTCATTACAAAGAGGAGATTAATGATAGACTCTCAAAGTGCTAAATGGGGAAGGGCTTGCAAGAGAGGTTGAAACAAGTCTTCTAAAAAATGATTTGCATTATTTATGCTCTTACCTTTGCAATGTCTTCAGGTGCATTTATTAGTCGCAGTTTGTCTGTCTCATTCAAACTTATACAGAAAACTGGAGCCTGCCTTGGCTGTGACTGTCTGAAAAGAAGGGAACTCTTATCTGACAATTTCCTTGAGCTGTCAATACTAGTGACAATGCTCCATCCATATGCCTGCATTGCTTCAATTATTTTCAGTATTAGATACCTCGAAATAACTGCCTCTTCACCTGAAGCCCACCAAGGGTTTCCACGCAGCTTAAACTGCCAGCTCAAAGAGTAGCGTGACTCTTCCTGAATACCTCTTGGCCAGTTGGTTTGGATGACATCACGTACAGCAGAAGTCAAGCTGTCTGGAATTCCAATCAACCTCAAGGTGTCGTACTTGTTGAGGCTTATGGTGAAGTGTGGTGGGCAGGGCTGCCCTAAGGCAATGCTTGGGTCGTGTTCAAAGAAGAAGGTGTTGGTACCACTTTTAAGGTTGGAATTTCCGTACAATCTCCATTGCCTCACATACAGATCAGTGACAAGCATTTGCAGAAGCACTCTTGAATGAACTGTTTCCTCTCCGTCTGGATGCCAAGGCGTTCCTTTCAACTTGATAAATAACACAAAATTCTCATACGACCACCTTTGGATTCCGAATGGCCATGATTTGTCGACTATGTCTTTGAAAGTTTGATGGAGTTCGGCAGGTGCATTGAGTATCATTAAAGTATCAGTGCTGCTGAGGCCCACAACCACGAATGGCTGGGAGGACAACAGTGTAATCGATATTTTCTTAAAGATCCACGTAGTAAGATCTGTTGTTCTAGTCAAGTCACTAGAAGCCAGCAGCTTCCATCCATCACAATATAGTCTGTGAAGGACAGCACCAGCCATTGTCCGGGAAAGTACGGCATCGCCGGATGAAATATTCAGAGAAAATGGATATCCATTCAACTTGAATTCATGAGCTCCATTAAGAAGGAATGACTCTCTTTGGATTCCTCGAAGCCATGTTTCTTGGATGGTTTGACGGAGGATGCTAATTTCGCGATCTGTACCATGAATGACACGAATTTTATCGGGGTGGCGAATAGCTATGCACATATATTCAAAACCAAGAGGACGGGGAGGTAAGTTAGATTGAGAACCTCCCATTTTCAGCTTTGACAAGACTTCCACGATGATATATTTTTCCGCATCAGCAGCCGATCTGCCAGGCGGTTCCAACACTCTCGTCCCCAGATCATCTCAGTTTGGGTCCAACTAGGCTGTGTGAGTTCCCAAGGAATCTTTCGCGACATCAAAGATTGTCAAATCAGCTCTACAGCCTCTTAAAAACACAAATGACTTAAATGTGCCTTTTACTAAAAACTGGGGTCGGTGAGGGCTTCAGACTTTACGGAAATGTGAATCTCGATAGGCTTTTTGCATTTTAGTTCACCGAACTTGTTTCTGAATTACATGCGAATGAAGCTGAAATCGTGAGTGCTTTTAAAAAGTTATATAGTTGCTATGGCAACTTCATTTAAAAAAAAAAAAACAATCATAGCAAGTTCAGAAGTAACTGTGTATTATTTGGTACTACTTCCAGGATGCAAATTAAAGAAAAAATAGACTAGAAGCTGCCATTAATCAAAGAGTTGGTATTTGAAAATATCGAAGGACATTTTGTGCCACCTTAAATGACATAGCAGCACTTCTATATCGACTTCAGATGCAAATAGCGGATGGCAAGTGCAAGAGAGCCCCCTTGATTCCTGCTATTTTCTCAAACTTCCTGTTTGATATATGTTTAAAGAGCTAAATAATGAAAAAATGTACCCAAATAGGCGATGATGCTCACATTGGAGTAAACGAGTGATACTATTGCATATCGAATCACAGTAGTAACTCATTTCTGTAAAGGGCTTCCAACGAGTTGAAAATATGGGCACTGAGATCGTGTTGGAGTTCACATGGCACATATAACAAAATATACGGATATTTCTTAGAAGCTTAAACGTTGCTTTGTTAATTGCGTATAGGTTCAAGGGACGATTTGAATTTGAATGAATGAAGACAACCCTTAGTGCTTAAAGTAAGGAGACTTAACGGTGTCCGTCATCGAGTCCTATCGTCACTTTCTCTCCAATTTGCAAAAGTCAAAACATAACGGCGGAAATCCAAGAATGTATGAAGCTAGGAATATAAAGATGTAATAAGCATACGCATAAAATCGTATCCTGATTTCTTCCCTTTCAGATAGTTACTTTGATTCTATCCGTTTATGTTTTAGCTTGGTAAAAAGAGTTTTCAAGTTTTTTTCTTACTTCTAGATTGACTAGTTCAGTTAAAAAACTGAACATTAAGTAACGCTACGATCATCGTACAGGAAATTTTTCTATACGCTCGAGACGAAGAAGAGGAAGACACTTACATCAAGAGTAATAAAAATTGAGAAAATTAAGAAAAATCTAAGAGAAATGTTAGCTATGATGCAGCCTTTTCTTTTCTGATTAGATATTATTACTGCACTTCAGAAGGTTCCTTTTCAAAAGCACACATAATCGAACTAAGTAACACAAGTAATATATAGCCTCAAGCTTAATGAAGATTTCTTTATAAGGAGGTGACTACCATAAGAGAGAAACAAAATATTAGATCTCTACACAACGAAAAAGTACTCTGAAAATTTTTCATTATTGACTGGATCATATATTTTGAATTAGCAGCGTATCATACACAGCGAGAATATATTCATTTTTTTACATAATCAGAATCATATTATAATGCGACGGAGGCTTTTTGACTAAGACTCATGAGATTATCTCGATTAGAAAAACTCATTGATGCATTAATGATCTCGCGTTTGACAGAGTCGAGAATTTCATATTGCTTCCACAGCAGCTCAGGTAATATCTAAGGCGTCTCTCCCTGTTTTACAACGAAGCTTGTTATTTCTTTCCTTCGCGATTTCCATGACAGTTGACTGAGTAATGTCATAAACAGTTTAAAATAATACATATACGTGCAAATTTCAAGCGAGTAATAAATTTCTGATTTACAGCACCTTATTCTGTTGTGAAACTGAGTTTAGTAATTGATTATACGACAACATCCATTGACTGTGTTAGTATAATTACTCAATTGGAACTAGATGCAATTCATAAATTTTCATTTGTCCCTACTTCGATTTTCAAAATTAGTAATCATTACTGTGTTTGATGGGATCATAACTAGACTGTGGTACAATTCTCGACCGAAAAGAGCGCATCTATCTAATCACCTAAGTAACTTACTTGATCCTCACTGAATAATATATCACTGACACCACACAACGTCAGGATTCTAGAAAATCTCCTATCATAGATTTCATTCCTGTCTCAACTTTTAGCTGCTGGAAAACCTGTATTTTCCAGCTCACTGTACAAGTCAGATCTGGTCACAGATAGCGAACAGGTCCACGTTTTAAAGTCTGGTATCGTGAGTCTGGTTATCACGCACATCGTTGTCAATGCCATTTTGTTGTGAACCGTTTATTTCGGTTGGCCCCACAACCGAGTCTGTTTTACTTGCCACGACTGAACTCCTTGTTGTGCTGTCTGAGCGGTGGGCCTTGTTTTCATCTTGTCCAATTGCATCTATGACTTCCAAACAAACTTTGCGTAGGGAATCTCTCCGAAAATTTGGGCTGTTAAAAAAGTAGATGAATGGATTGCAAACTGAATTGAAAAGCCCAAAGCCATAGGTAATAACTCGTACAGTATCGGCTGGATTAGGGAATGGGGCAACTGATCTCTCAATGAAGCCAGTGTATATGACAAACGGCGCCCAACAGAGGAGAAAGCATATAACGACAATTAAAAGCATCTTAGTGACGCGTTTTCTTGTTTTGTCCAGCGATTCTGAAGTAGCCCTGGACAGTGTTCCAGAGCGAGAAATTTTTCTTTCTCGGCTCCACACTGCCTTTCCCACGCGACTGTACAACACAATTATAGTGATTAACTGAATACCGAATCCAAAGATGGAAAGGAACAACAGGTAGATGAAACCGGCTGTTGTGTTGTTAGGAATGGTACGGCAATACCAAAACGTTTCGTTTCCTGATTGGATATCCTCGGTGTCAGCGAAGTAGAACGTAGGAAGGAAAATGCTGCCTCCGTAGATCCATCCCGCACTGATTAGAACTTTAGGGCGGAGCCAAGTTTTCATCGCTTGCAATGGACGAACCAGAGAGTAGTAACGATCAATGCTGATCACAGTTAGTAAACAGATAGAGCTGGATGGCGCGAGAAACTAAAAGAAAAAATGCGCCTGCAATGGTTAATAGCGCTTATTTGGTACATCTTTTTGACATCATATTAATTAAAATTAAAAAGAGAAAAAAGAGGGAGACTGATATTTATTTTGAATCAAATTCTTTAAAGATACTAAAGTTTGCTTTCTGTTATTGTTATAATCGTAAAATTGTTTAGAAGAGTCTAGTGGAGAAAGTATATCTATTCCCTTTCTTTATGGCTGGTTAATAATATGACGGTATTTAATTCTTTATGTTTTTTGCTCAACCTATGAGACCATACTAGAACAAGTGGAATGCGAACAATAGTCCCACTGATTTGCGAAAAAGTGGTCTAGTTTAGCGCATATCAATGATCTCTAGTGTAAATGAAAATAGATTCGCGCGCTTTGTCGATAGCAGGGACTATGTCTGATAATTTGTTACCTGAATAATGATTCCATGAATGGGTTTTCCCCGCTGACTCGTTAAATGAATGCTTGTATAACAAGCTAAACCTTGAAAATGTTCTTACCTGGACGTATCGTGCTATCTTACACACCGCACCAGCTCCTGGTTTGTCCTGTTCTGGATAGTAGAAATTGATCCATATAGTCAGTGGTATGCACACTATACATACAAGCAAGTCTGAAATCGCCAGGTGAAGGAGAAACAACTGCACGGCCGACCGCCGACCGCGCCGTCGACTTGAAACAATAATAGAAGCAACTATAGAGTTACCGAATAAACCAACCAGTGAGATGATTCCTTCAAGAAAGAAAAAATAGATCATTTATTAGAGAAGTGTTAACAAAAAGTGCGCGGGTCACATAAAAAGGGTTATCAGTCGCACAAGTTGTCTGAGGAAAATTTTAAAACGCTATAGTTTAGGTATAACCTGTACATTAATTTCCATAACAGCAGCAGTGAGAAAGTGGTTTGAACCCTCGGAGTTACAGTTGATCATTTCCTGAAAAGACCTTACCTTTGACTATGACTGTTTGTGTGGACAACCTGAGCTGCTCAGCTTGTCGAAACGTCAGTCACCCTTCCACGATCAGACTACACAATCCCAAGCTCGTAACATCTTTCCTTAACAGCATTGGTCTATGCAACGCTTACCTGTACTTTTTTTTCATTCCAAATTGATCTTAAAGTCCTTTGACTAGCAATAAAAATTGACTGAATTTTTGTGAAACTTGTGATAAGTAAATACAGTGCTGCGAGTTGCATAGGATCACACAAGGATCCACACATGAAGGACAACATGAGCTGTGTACATGTTGGGATTTTTATACATTGATAGGAAATTTATGATAGTCCGGAGAAAAATTGTTGTACCAGTAAGGTTTTGGGATCATTGCCCAGAGATCGATAAACCAACATACCTATTTTCTTCAGGAATAGAATGTTACGAGTCAGAGACCAGTGCGATGTGTTGAAATGACCTTACTATAGACTGCTGTTTTAAGGGCTTCGAGAGTCTACACGAGCTAAAACAAAAAAATTTTCTAACGCTTCTTTGTGGAAATGAAAAGTAGGTAGGGGACAAAGCTGAAAAAAATGACTACCGGAGACCAAAATTTGCACAGCAGCTGTTCAAAGAGGGAGATAGAGCACAGGATCAGTAGAAACATGTGCATGATGAAATAATTGCAAGGATTACAAGATGATTATGGATATAACATGAGTGTGTGGATCTTTGTTTCTTTTCTCAGCCAATCTTGACATATGAGAGCGTGAATCTGGACAATCTATTATATTTGCATATCTTACCAATCATTTTGGTGTGTAGCATCACTGAGTATTTTTGCGAGTTGAGCCGCGTATTTTGATGAGCCCGTAGGACGAGTCAAAATACAAACAAGGAGTAAATGATTCCATGATATTAACGTTGTCATAAATTTTATCGAAACTTTATTGCGTGTTGTAAGTTATCGACATCGTATACAAACTTAAGATGATAAGGGAATTAACGACGTCGTTGACTCGACGACGTTAATAACAATTTGACGACCGTATTAAAGATGATATTACCAAATTCATAGCTTAATATCCACATCGAGAGTTGACGTCATTAAAACATTTAACGTCATTAGAACCTGACGACTACATAAAGGAAATTATATTGTTAACGCATATAGCGACGTCATAAGCTTAACTTAGAAAGACCTGTAGGGGCTCAAAAAGGCTATAGAGACGATTAGGAAAAAAGCATTCATGATTATTATTCTTCAATTCTTGAAATCGACCCGAATGATGGCTGGAGAGTGATTGCTGACTTTAAGTGACGCCTCACGACATTTCGAAGAGTCTTCGACCCGTTAAACAATGTGAGACACTCGGAAGAAATGTGAGATAAATATCTTACCGTCCTTTTCCTCCGTTTATGCTATAATTTTAGGATTCTTGATGTATTTGGGCCACAAGTCAATATGAAAAAAATCGGTCCTTAATTTACGATGCGGATCTCAAACTCGGCGCGTAAGAGGTATAGACACTTACAATGGATTTAATTGGATTAATTTTTTTTAAATTTTAAGCTGAAAGGATCACCATGGTGAAGCGTGGCGAAGCCATAGACACATCGAAAATTCATCTTGAGATTCTGGAGGTGTTGCAATCTTGTTAAGGCAAGCTCTCAGTTCTTCTATCTTAAACTGCTCTCTACCACCTGAAGGACACTAAATTTGATTCAAAAAAGGAAGCGAAGCCAAAATTTCTCATACCTTAGTCCGATTTTACAAACATAATAGAACACCTGCGTTAGAATCCACTCAGTTTTTTTTTATGATGTTATAAACCTCTGAATATTGCTAACGGTTATCCCCTCAGCAGGGATATGGAGGTTTTTCTTTAGAACAGTGAGATATACCCTGAAAAGGGGGTTAATCTTCTCTTAATCAAGCTTAATTAGCAGGGCTATAATCTGTCTAGATTACTCCTACTCTCCCCAGCAGGCAGAAATCCTCTAGATGTCTTCGCAAATAAATTAAATTTCCTTGGAAAGATTATGCTCCTTAAGGCGAAATGGATATCTCAGAGACAGTAAGTCTCTGGATTCGGACTTCACATTGTCGTTAATCAGCGAAAATGAAAGGTTTCAATTCGTGCTGAAAATATTTGGAATACTCAAACGGAAATTCATGTAGATTTATCTTATAAGCAGATAATACTCAGTTTTCATCGTATAGAATCTAGCGTAATCACAAACAGAATAGTGAAGTTTTGTTTGTGATAATAAGTTTTGCATTGAGAGCTTTGTATGAGCAGTTAGCAAGGTATATATATATATAATTGTGGGAAATTGTAGCAAATGCTGTTGGAAAGTGCTCGATATACATGAGTGTAGAGCGAAATACAGTTCGAAACGACTAAAATGAAACACGCATGATTCCCTGTAACTCTGAGTTTCGTGCCTACGCACTCGTCAGACAGATTTAAATCTGTCTGACGAGTGCGTAATCGTAGTCATTTCGAACTATATATATATATATATTTTTTTTTTTGGCTTGGATACCACCTCTTACCTAGTAAAATCAGGGCGACGATAAACTCACTGCCATTTATCGACCAAACTTTATAAACTGTATTGACTGTTCTGTTCGATTCAGCCATGGTAATCTTCACTTGGAGAAAAACCTTAAAAAAGATAACCTTTTACTTCTTGATTATGCTGAAAGATAAGAGGATTTAAATTCATTGTAGCTGTGGCTCCATTGCGTGAGTGCTGCCAAGTGAAAGATATCAAATGGTTCATGCACCACAGCACTCACGCATACGGTGTTTTTTGAGGACGATTAACTAAAAATTGCCCCAGCCTACTGGGTTTATTCACAGCTACATCCTGTACCGACAACAGTTTCCTTACGAAACTTTCCGATAGGTCATTCATTCTTAAGATCTAAAAGGTTGGTTCTTGTAAATATAAGTGAAACATGTTGGCCGAGATAAGAACACATCACAGATGAACAGAAACCTAACACTGATATGACAAAGTTTTTTTACCTCACGTCGTATCTTAGTCTTCTAGAATGAATACTTTGTCGGTAGAGTCAACTTTGTCATGTAAGGCCTACCTGAAAGTAAGGTAGAAAAATTAAGCAGCCTCAAATCTCCACGACACTTTTCCTTTGTTGATAACTCTAACACACCATCGACTTGTCATGTTTATTTCGAGATGAGTGATCACAACAGAAGCGTAGCGGAACCAAAGCCCTGTTGCGAAAACTATGCAAATGAACCAACCACCAGACCATGGTAACTGCCATATTTCGAGCTGAAAATTTAATTACGTTCGTTAAATCCATTATTTTCATGAGATTTAATGAAAAGCTGCGGGGAAATTCAATATGGTACAGGAAGAGGCCATTTATAAAACTAATGTTTACACAAAAATCCATAGAGAACAATACAATTGCAGAGCGTTCGACGCAATCATACATTGTTCCAAATGACAACCAGAATAGTGAATAGTTCAATGAATGTTTTATATAGTGGAAAATCACTCTCCGAGGAAAATAACAAACCAAAAAAGGCGCAAATACAAATATGGGTAAACTAGCTTGAAATGAAATATAGAATAGTGATTCCGTCTATAACCTCTATAAAGTTTTACACAGCTGTAAAATTATATTCCACCATTAGCAGGACAAAACCACGAAGCATGCACAAGCATGGAGCTAAATGAATAACTACTTACCGGTAGTTGAAATTCAATTTAAAAAAATTCGTTTCCTTGGACAAATTATATCCCAGGAGGATAAATTTGATCTTTCACTTGACATTGAAAATAATTAGGGTCAACTTAGTGATATCTTTAACTTTTTTTATCAACCTTTTAATGAATTAACGCAAATTCAATATACACGATCATTGCGAAACTAATTTTTTTTTTAATTAATGAAGAAAATAAGTGATAAAAGCAACAAGAGAAAATATTAAGCTGCAAAAGGGAATGAATACCTCAAGCAGAACAGACTAAATTAAAGAAACAAAAAAAATTTTTGTTCCGGTATGACATAACCTCAATTGGTGAAAAAAAAACTCTTCTCCGGATGACAAACATTGAGGAAAACAATAATGACGAAAACTAAATGAAAAAAAAAATTCAACAGCTTTTAAGACCTCTTTCGTGGAACACTGTTACCCTGTTTTTTAATTCGTCCAAAACATCATAAACTCGGTCAGAATCATGTATCAGGCACATTTAACATAACCCACGAGAATAAACGACGTTGACAGAAATTGCTCATAGACTCTCAAAATCACACTTGAAGAGGACATAATGTACCCTAACCCAATTGTATCAATCGGACACGAAAATGATCATGTTTATGTCGCATTTATTTCGCCTCATTTGGGTTGATCTCACGATTTATAGAATGCGACCTCTAATGGTGCAATGCTCCCTAAACTCGGTTGTTTTGAGGTAAAGCACCTGGCGCAGTTCGCTGCAGCCATAGTAGTGCGGGTTTGATAATATATCTTTTCTTCGTCTCCAATGTTAGACCGCTCTATAAGAGTAAAAATTATTTTATAACTACAGCTTGTACCTTGAGGAAGAGCCGTTAAAAAATTCCACAATTTCTCTCATTTAATTCCCATGCAACGGGCAAAACATACTAACGGTGCGAATGCTCTGAGGAGCCATATAATGGGCTGAAAATTCTTGATCGGAGATTTCAAGTGGACGCTTCTGGCTAACGCTTTAAACACTGAAATAAAAATTTTTAATGCAAAAGATTAACTCTTCTGAAGCCGGATGGTAAAAGATTTGCCCAAGATCCAGCCGGGTCAATTATAGGCCTCCTTAAATTTTCTAGCTTCAGTTCCTACTTGCTTTTCATTATTTGATGAAGAAAGGCTCTTGCACCTGTCTCAACACCAAACGCACTATGTAAGTTTCATTAATTGCGACATATATGTTGCGTTTGGTGTTTAGACAGGTTGAATTTAAACAGTTTAAACTGTTGAAACAGTTGAGTTTAAACTCAGTTATTGACTCACATCCTCGAAATAGGAATCTACAAGATAATTTCTGTAATTTGTTTTGGGAGTTTAATTATTTTATTGGGCTAAATAAAAAGAACCGCAGAGCAGGATCTTGCCTCCGTTATTGGGCGCGACTCCAAACAGACTATTTCCCCTTTTTTATGTACGTTTCCATTGGCTTGTGATTACAAAAGATAAAAATAAAAACGTAAGAAGTTACTTCAGTGGTCATTCATCATAGCGATCGAGCTAATTCTTCAATAAAACTTAAACTGCCAGAAAAACGTCTTTTCAGTTTGATTCTTTATCATAAGGTTATAACTGAACCTTTACGATCTTTTGCTTTTATGAAGGATACCACCGTGTCGAGTTGCTTGCTTTGGTTTTGCTTCATGTTTTGTATTATCTTAATCCGTTTTTCGATTTGCTTTTATTTACATTCAATACTCTTCTTGAGAAAAACTTCGTCTCTCCCATCTTTAGGCAGTTTCCTCTTTGTTGTGCGGTACCTTACTTTCCTCAGTTTGCAGAAACGGGTACGAGTAGTAAATCACTAGTCTGGCTCTTTTAAACTGAAACTTCATTTAACTACAGTATTGTGAATCTGGCTAATAAATGTTCAGGTTACATCGTTCAGTGGTTCTCATCTTTTGTTCAAAAACAATTATACCTTGTTCAAACACCACCATTGCCCATCGGAACGTTCCTATTTTACCTGTCAGGGCTCATCCCATGTCAAGTGAACTGACGCGAGCCTTAATTTCGTTGATGGTTCTTCTCCGGGTTATCTTAGGTCTCCCTCGTTTGCTTTACCATCTCTTGTCTAAAATATAGCTTTTTTTGTGTTATTATTCCTTGAATTCGTTGCATCGCAACGCACGTAGTTTGATTAGTGGTGTGTTTTACTACACGACAGCTTGCTAATAGCAGAACCTGCACTAACAAAAGGAAAAGAAGAAAAAAAGAAACACTCCACGCAGAAAAAAGTAAACTGTTCGTAATATCTTTTAATGCGCATTGAAAAATTTTTGAAGGATAATAAACACTATAGCCTCTATTTGCGCGAAAATAGGTACATGCAAATGTTTGTCCTTGGACATTATCTGTTCCTCGAAGCTTAAAGTTTCCTCGAGCAGCTCGCTCTCGGAAAACTATTCGCATCTTCGTTTCAGAACACTACATGGACTCGGGGAAGTTAATGCAGATTTTCTGAAGTTCAACAAGAAGACGTAAACCTCAGAATACTTAGACGCGCTATTTGCTTTAGGCTCAATGTCAGTTATAGGAAAGACAACTACAGTTACCGAGTACACCTCCGTTACTAATGAAATCGACGTAAATGCGACTGAAAAGGTTATTCAGCAGGTATTGGCTGAGTCGACATTTCGAACCACCTCTCATTTTTTTGTTTTTGTTTCTTTTGTTTTGTTTGATTTTTGTTTTATGATGACTAATATATTATCCACTATCACTGGTAAAGAACGCAGATGTCATCGAGATTTTACCCATTTTACCCAATATACTTCCCTTAAAGATTCATCTCGCACGATCCTAAAATCCTCGTAAATAATAATGATATGATAAAAATATGAGTTGTATATTAAACAACTTACGCGTTCTAGAGGAGTGCTCTGCTTCCTTATGTAAAGCTTTAAGACAGAAAGAAAAGCTCATTGTAACACTAATGAACAGGAGGAAATTTGATTCTCAAGTCTCGTTGCATATTCTTAGGTAAGTTAGGAATGAAGTTAGTAGCCTTCAGTTATGTCAGTTTTGGTAGTAAACTGTAGAACATTTGTAAAGTTGTTCTTGCAAGCTGTGTATAACTAATGTCAAAAAGTAAACAAATACACAAGGAAAAGAGCATCGCAAGCCGGCAAAAATGTTTTACCATACTCTTTAGGGACGGGGCTATCAGCCAGTGTGCATTTGGGGTCTCCTGATCTTATTTCAGGGAAGTGTGGTGGGTCAAAACGTCGTGTTCTCAGTCCCTGGTTGCCGTATCCGTCCCGTAAGCTAAGTTTGCCCGCCTTCTCTCTCCTCTTCGAGCCAGTGATATAAAAACTACGAAAAAGAAGTGTTTGGGTACTACTAAAATTAGGAATGTGTTTGGAAATTGTTTAGGCCTGTTAGATTATCTTAAAATCCTCGTGAGAGTCTTGTGAGCCTTGGACTTTTTGTGGTGCATGACCATACATTTATTTTTTTACCTTTAGAGTGATGTGTCCTCGACCGTTGTAATAGGACTTAACTCTCGTGCGATAATCGTCATCGCCAGTCGTGTTTGGTTTTGTCCTTGACTTTGCTTAGAGTCCTCGACGGAAAGTTTTATTTAGGTTTCAGTTCTCGCAGATTGATTTTTTTAGTACTTTCTTGTTTGTTTCCAATGTCTTTAGAAATTGTTTGGGTTTGTGTTCTTAAAATATGTGTACTCTGCCAGGGTCAGTCCTGGTGTCTCCGTTTGCACGAGTTTCTCCAGCATTGTGTATTTGGGGTTCCCTTGACTAATTCTGCACAATTCGCAAAACATCCGCTCGTATCATACATTAAACCATCGAGAAAGTTTTATTTATCATACGCGACGTCAAGTCATTTCTAATGCAAACAAAGCGTCAAGCAAAGTCAAAAAGGGCATCCGTAATGAAATTTGAAAAAGTTGAAACAACCGCACTCTTTTTTGAAATATACTTGAAGGCCTCTGTTGATCTGACTATGTGTGCTCCTATCAAAAGGTGAACCAGCTCTTATGCAAATAAGATCATAGCTCTTTCAATTGTCTTGCCATTACTTTCCACTAAGAGGGAAAGATTGGGGGAGTGTTTATCAGTGAAAATAGCTGCCTTTTATTTTGTTTTAGCAGTTTCTGTTTTTATTTCATTTTCATTTGAGACCATCGCCATAAAATATATCATTTCCCATCACCTTCCCTTTCATTTAGGTCAGAAAAAGGAGAACAAAACAAAAGGAAGAAGAAAACTGTCGATAAGGTTTATATGTTTACAAACACTGTGGTGAAACGTGCTCGTTTCTAACTGTTTTCCTGACCCAGATATTTGCAGTATAGCAATAAGGGCTAAAAAATCAGGCATAAACTATTTTTATATTTACAAACTCTTGACGATCTTCTCTGAAATTAAACCAAGAACATTTATTTATCTAAAACTACAAAAATTTTGCTGGATTGAAAATAAACTAGAGTTTTGAAAGTGTCATGTTTATGATTTTTCGAGTTCAGTCGTACATCTTTCCACTTTCTCAAGAGTTTTACCATTCAATGTGT